TGTAAGGCAAAAAAAAAAAAAAAAAAAAAAAAAAACCCCGCCACTGTTATTACATGTTGTTTACATTGTAGGAACGTTTTTAAAATGTTAGATGTGATTATTAAAATTGTGAAAATTGTATACAGTGATGCAAATTATGAAATCCTTCTTGCATTTTTTTATTTTTATTTTTTGTAAAATTAACAAAAATCTATAGTTTGTTATTTATCAAAATTTATATATACGTTAGAATGTGCTGGTAACGTTTCTTTAATCAATGAAAATAAAAGTGGGAGTGTAGAACGTTATAAAATAATATATGTGTTTGTGTGTGTGTGCGTGTGCGTGCGTGCGTGCATGTGTGTGTGTTTGTGTGAGACAGAGTATCGTATGTGACGTCGATTATACGCACAAGTTTGAGAGTATGTGAGGCATCACTTCTAGATTCATTAAGCATTCGCCAACAGCTTCAGCAACAACCTCTCACCTAAAATGAGCCATACCTATTGTAATTTGCATTACAATCAATTGATCTTCGTAGTGCGAGCTGTCTTCACGGATGCTCATTTGGCAGTGTGGACAGAGTCGGGCGTAGACGTAGCAGTATGTCTGGTGCAGACTCTGAGGTCGAGCTCTTATAAGGCGTAGAAGCAAATTCATGATTGTGAGTATCACTATTTCTTCAATAACCACCGCCATAAAATGCTAAAGGTGCAGACGAATGAAAGAATATTTACGACAAATGCGTATGAGAAGAAGTCCTTGTTCTACTATTCCTATTTTCACTTGTGTCAGCAAGGATTGTAGAATTTATTGGTTACAATGCATTGGGACTCAAAATGTACTGGATGAACGGCGCTCTCGTCTGACTTTTGGTGAAAATCTAAGTTTGCTTGAAATCTTTTAGCTCTAGATGCACTTTTTAGCACTGTTGGAACATCCAAGCAATGCAAACGGCTCTTTTGACGACAAATGCCATAGTTTTAAAAGGAATATAAGATATTTTTCATTTTATCTTGTTATCGATGTTTCTTTTTGAGCAAGATGACTCAAATAGTTATATCTTTCACTTCAGATCATAATTTTGACATAAGGCAACCTTGCTTTGCTTTTTTTTCTGCGCAAGCCGAATCTGAACATCAGACAAGTCAGTAAACACGCACACCTTTTCAATTATACGTTCCCTCTCCTCTGTGATATTGTATTATTCGTATATTAAAAGACTAGTACTGTAAGTTTATTCTAAAGTTGTAAACATTATTTTTCTCCTTTCAGAAACCCACCGAGATTGTGCACAACATGTGGCCAGTGACCTAGATATTGTGCCAAGACCGTTTCTCACACAAGAACCCCACGCTCATTCCTGCATCTATTACATATGATCACTAAATAAATACTACTAAATTTGAAATCCAGCGTTTTTCTTTCACTTTGTTATGAAATTATGATGATAAAGTAATGATAAGGGGGAATGAATAATTTTATTTCGTGTTTGACGATTTTCAAATTCAATCTGCCAAATCTGATCTTGAAAATGTCTTAATGTTTTTTTTTTCTGTGAATGACAGTGTTTTATGGAACCTAAAATTGAAATACCCAGTATTTTGTAAATAATGAAATTGAGCATTAAGAATTTTTCAATGACTTTTCAGCAACACACATTTGTAAATCAAATTTGTTTAAGTTTTACAATCCTGCTTCTTAAAAATCCACATTTATTTTTTATTCTATATCAAAATGGAACTAATCCGTTTGACTTCCCAGATATATATTTCCTATATTTCTTTAAATTTGCATAAATTTACAATCCTGCTTTTTTAAAAATCTACATTAATTTTTTGTTCTATATCAAAATGAAACTAATTCTTGTGTATATATTCGTGGATATATTTCCCTATATTTTTTTAATAGGACGGGCCCTGTTTTGACAGGTTTTGGTTTTTCCTTCCATGAATTAATTCATTTGGAGAATTGTTCTTCGAATGAATACTTCTATGTAAAATTTGAAAATAATGGAAGGTTTCCCTCCAACAGAATGAACTCGCCCCACCCAAAACACCTCCAATGGAATGCACTCACCCTACCAGTCATGGTGGAATGGACTCGCCCTACCTGACACCCCTGAGATGGAATGGACCCTCCCCACCTGACACCCCTTTCCAATGGATTGGGCTCACCCTACCTGACACCCCCTCTTGCAGAATCGACTAGCCCCACCTGACATCCCTCTGACAAAATAGACTCTCCCCACCTGACACCCCTCCAAAGGAATGGGCTCGCCCTACCTAACACCCCTCTGGCAGAATCAACTCGCCTCACCTGACACCCCTCTGACAAAATAGACTCGCCCCACCTGACACCCCTCTGACAAAATAGACTCTCCCCACCTGACACCCCCCCCCCAACGGAATGGGCTCACCCTACCTGACAACCCCTAGTTGGAATCTGTTTGTCCCGCCTGACACCCTCCCAATGGAATGGACTCTACCTTGCCTATTTGGTCACAGACCCATACAAGATAGGGTTAAGATTGGCCATTCAATGAACTTCAATTGACCAATCTTCGTGTTACTGCTGCTCTTATTCACTCCGATGTTAGCTAACCTTGCAAAAAAGATTTTTAGAATGTATTTCCTTAATTGGAGTTAAAACAATTCACTTGTTAATCTTTAACAACAAACAACTACCAATCTTATTTGAAAACATTTTAAATCATTTTGATAAAGTTCATTACAGTATTGATGTCTGTGCAGTCCTTCTTGGAAATATTGAACACTACAATATGGTGGTTTATTCCATTTTAGGTTCATTTAAGCTTTCCATCACATGTCGGTATTTTGGGGTACATACCAACAGTCCAAAGGTGCTTCAATCCGAACCGCTCTAGTGGCCAACTAACCCCAACCCCAATTTGTAATTATAATCCGCTTATCAAACAGCGTAAGACGCAGGCTTTCGGCCCAACGTTGGTACGACAGCGATTTAATTTAATTTTGGGAAATCCACTCTGCCCTTTCATTTTAGACCGAGGCTTTCGTACGGAGAATGGGTGGTCCTATGATGTGCATCAGGTGAGCATTTGAGTGAGAAGTGTTCAGATAGGTCCAAGGTCAGTCGCTGGCCAGTAGAAGAAGAAGAAGAAAAAGGAAACGTCATGCAACATTGCTAAAATTTCCACGTGTAGGCCAAAAATTTGGCACTGTAAACGGCAGCAATCTTCTGTAAGTACCGTATATAGGTGAAGTAAGATATAATAACATATTTGCTTATTTTGCGTTGACAATATTTGCCCAAAATGGTACCTTTCGCATTTAACTTCCAAACCCAATATATATAGAGGTGCAATTCACATGCTCAAAGTATAAAAAATTGAATGAATTCGAAGTCGTATTATTTTTTTTAAAACATATGTGTTTAGAACAATAATCCACGGCTGTCTCAATTTTACATCTACATCAAATTTTTACCATGTCTATACATTATGTAAGGAGCCTAAATTGTAACATATGTTCCAGTAATGTATTTTCCGGGGTATATAATTTCAACTTTTATATGGCTTTCCGATTAATTTTGTAGTGATTCAGTCATGGTTAATTATATATGACGTAAGGATGTTTGTATAAATCTTTAAACTGTAACTCAAGGGACTTTGCGTCATGGCTAATACCAACTAGCGTATATTCCCCAGAAAACATTGTCAGAATGTTTCATCTTGCGCAAGTACTCGGTGCAATAGGAAATAGGGTTTTCAGTTGCTGACTGAAAAATATACTACGATTCCATGATAATTTGACATTACTGATATAATATTTGGACCACGAGTGGCAAATAGTTTATTTAATGCTTATTTTACTGGTCAGTAGGGTGTATCCCCCCCCCCCCCCATTTTTAATATTCAGTGACAAGCAAACAAAAAATTAACCACAGAAGATTATCATAATTTTACAACGTTTTACTTGTAGGAGAACAAAACCAAC